CTCACTCCGCACACAGTAAATGATGATGAATGTCGCCTTGCTCCATTAGAGCGTGGACTAGCTTTTTCAAAATTCTTCGAGCTTCCTTATCTGGGACTGCACCTTGAGGATCCTCGTCGAGACCTGCCATCTAGTTCAGTAATAGCCACGAAGAACGGTGAATGGGACCAACCAGCTGTATCAAAAAGCTTTACCTTCAACGTCTCGTTCCGAATCAAAATCTCGTGCACACTGGTTCCGGTTGTACATCCCGCAGTATCTGAGGATGTCGCTGCTACATCCTTCCCAGCGATCAAATTGACCAAGAACTTTTACCAGCTCCGGATTCACCAAAATGACAACATTGCATGTGTCTGTGCGATGTGGAGGTTCCCCGACTGCAATGTCGTTGGAATTAGCAGAGCTTTGAGATAGGACGGACTCGGAGACTGGTTCAGCTTGAAGTTAACCTTACACTGAGGGGGGCCAAACACTACTTACACTAGATGGTCGGAGTCTCCCAGCAGGCTTCGAAATTGTCATAGTAACTGACTCTACTCGGACTCAACAAGCAAGCGAAAGGTACGTCTGACTTGAGTATTCGGTGATTTTGACTCTTGAGTGGCGTTAGCTCTTCTGCTATCCCCCCGGTTTGTTGGAATAGGAGTCGGCACAGCCAGACGTGAAAATCGATAGGGATACATAGATTCAGCATGTCCGTACACGTGAAAAGGGCATTGGGGGTAGCTGCGCGAGCTCATAAATTAACCATGCTGCTTAACAGCTACTTCCTATTACATAATTGCAGATTCCTGTGTTTCAACTTGGTTCCTTTTGCCCAGGTTGTGCCCTTATCAATTTCAACATTCCAGGACAGCTTCCATTCGCCCAACCATGCCATGCCTTCCGAAGTTCTGGTCAATTAGTCTTCAGCTGGGTTATGCTTCGGAACCCTTCATCCTCGGTTCTCGGTCCCTCGCCCGTCTTTACCTTTACCTGCTTGTATTTATAAATTTAACTCGCACTCCCATCTTCTGCGACGATATCCGTGTCTTGTCAGCCAGAGTGGAGAGACTGCTGATACGATCTCAGTACTAGTGGCATCGTGGTACTTGGCTTGGAGTGTGGCGCCCATTGTGGGGTCATCAATACTGTCGAAACGACAATCTCGCATGAAACACGCTGCGACCTTCGTATCAATGCTGGTTCCGATGGTTGGCGTTGCGTCTAGTGAGATATGGAAGCCTTTTCTAGTCTGTTAACCATGTGATATGAGCAATCGGTGGGCATATGCTTGCACTGATGTTGATGGCGCTGCAGCTTTCAGAAGATCGAATCTTCCTCACTGAATGCCGCAACCAGATCACCGGTTGCCTTCGTGCTCTCCAAGAGTGTTCTTATGGATGACAAGAGTTTGCGGGAGCTCATCAATGATGCCCTCGCAACACTCACTCAGCTTGTTGCTGAAGCGCTGATGGACCACGGATCTCCGTTATCCGCTTTCGTTCATGACCCAAATTGTAAGGCATGCCACTTGCCTTGAGGGCGCCCTCGAGGTTAAGACTGGCTATATGCACTCGGAAGATGTTATCGCAGGAGAGCCCAAGCACGGTTCCTTAGCTAAACGTCGATTGAGCAGAATATGCTGGTCATCATTATGACCCAGGATTCGCTATACCCGAAGGTCTAGTCCTCGTTCGAACAACACGCTTTACCAATTGCTTCCGCGATGAGCAGTCTCTTCGTCGCTGTGATTTTCTCGATGCGCTCTGATGACAACCTTCGAATGAAATCGGCTGATCCTATTCCTCCAGCCGACGCAGAACGTACTTCGATATGTCATAGCATTGCTACCTCAGGTAAAGTCATTGTTCTACTGTACTCCTAATACATCGCACGTATTTATTTACGGTCAAAAACTTCTCTGAGCAGTAGTTGAGAACACCGATATAAACATCCTCGTATGCACTCGAAAATGTTACAAAGCTCATCTCAGGCTGGCAGCATCGTGCAAACACCTGAAATTAATTTCACGCTGGCAACGATACACGACTGTGTCTATATCGTCTGCGTGTGAGTGTTTATTTGTATCATACTTGAATAGATCAAGCACCGTTCGCAATGAGAATTCTGAAGAGTTCATTAGAAATGTACAACCACCACCAAGTCTCCAACCAGTGGGAGTGCGACGATGTTTGTGATACTTGCTGAAGGTCCGCATAACGAACTCGAATACCAGAGTAACCCCTATGACACCGGGGAAGCAAACGCGCAAATTTAACTCGCTATTAGTATTGCTCTGCTTCATTGTCGCCTTCGTTTTGGATTGCATCCTCATCCTCGTTATCGGCGCACTCATCAGGGACTACATCGCCTGTATTTTGTGGTAGTTGGGATGTTTGGGGAGCTTTCTTTTACCATCACGCTCAGCAGTTGTTATATCTTTACTAAAGAGACGGAAATGAGCGCACTAAGAACAATCAATGAATTACCCAGGGAAATAGGATGTGAAATATTTCAAATGAACGTTTTTGCCTTGTCGATCATGAAAGCTCCAGACACACTGGACTTCCGCAAAGGTAGGTCGTATGACAGCCTATTGGCGTCAGCTAGACACACGCATCAAAGGACAAAATACTTACGTCGAGTCATTTGACTGACCAGCTGGGAATCGGACGATATGGCTCCCTGGACCCGCAACATGACGTGAGCAAGTCTATTCAATGATGATTGCAAGAGCCATACTTCTGTTCTCAATGACAGATCGAAACGGGTCCGAAAACGATGTGCAGGGTGGATAGTACGCCATCAAAAGAGTCTTCAGAGGCGCAAACTTAGCGTCCAATGTTACGCTCGGGTCGATATACGGCAGAACGACGGGCAAACCTTCACCAAGAACACGGAACTGCGTTTCGAGTCCCCGTCCTGCCTCTTGTTTGGTGATGAGCTCGTCATCAGGCGCATGCGAATGTAGTCGTTGTTTAGGACGACAGCTTTCACAAGGTCGTTTGCAAGATAGAAAGATCATACCGTACCGCCTTCCAGATTGCGGGCAAGAACGTTTCGACGATGGGAAGCTGTCCGCAAGATTAAGCTGATCTCTGTGATAGTGTGAATTGGTGTTCGAAGATTACGGCGACGATCCAGAAATACGCACATACAGGATATCAAGTTCGGATCATTGTGTTCGAGGAAGGTATAGGACATTCCTTTGAAGGACGAATCAGAGAGCTTGGGTTTACTTTCGAATGTAGTTTTCTTCGTGTTAGTCACACCCTGCGCACCTGCCTCCAGTAGCCAACACCAATGGGTATGAACCATCGTCTTCAGATATTGGTACAGTCGGAAATGAAGCACTTGGTTGGGGTCTGGTAGACCGTCAAGGTCAAACTTGACCCTTTTGACTTCCGGGACAGGGATCTCAGCTTCCTCTGCATCTCTTTTCCTGGACAAGCGTAAGGAATATCCAGCAACCATCGATCAACTGAAAATCCATGTCATGCGTCAGCATACTCCAATACTAGTCGATCTGTAACAGTCCAAAATCACTCACCAGGGTTAGAGTTCAAGCCGTGCAGTGCAGAGCAATCTCGAGTCCTCGATTGATGAGCACTGGAAGCAAATACGTGTAATTATAACCTGCAGCACTGGCAGTTGACTTGACAGGAGAATTTCACATTGAAATACAAATACCGATACCGTGGCATGAGGTGGCTCGAAGTTGACGCTGAATTAATGAAGTCGACATCATCGTATGGCACCCGGGTCAGGTCTTCGGGAGTAATGGAATAAGACTTAAACCTCACGTGATGCGACGCGTCTTTTGCTTCTTCTAAGCTTTTGACAACCAGGTCATGGCTCTCATGTATGGGAAGGAAAAAGATACAGAGCTTGAGCTGGGCGAGTCTTCGCTTGCTCATCGACCGATAGAAATTTAACTACGACCTGAGATCAGCCTCTGACCCTGGTGTCGTTGCATTCTTTTCCAAACTTCCGAAGAAATCTCGGCCTGCCTCCTGAAACTGTCTATTTGATCGCACAGACTACTACTCTGTCCGCGAGCAGGATGCTCACCATGTCATACAAAACTTCGTGGATACATTTGTGGATGACAGATCTTCTCGGAGGACGCTGCAGTACCCTTTTTCAAGGGCGTCATTTATTTTCGTTTCACAGGATGATTATTTCAAGCTGAAGCTTGGCTGAGTAGGCGATTCAAGAAATCTATCCCTTCTCTTGAGGATATTGTACAGGTATATCAAGTAGTCCTCAAGGTACCTCGCTTCGGTTCTCGGTCTTCAGTGAGACTTATCTTACCCAACCCGGTGCCTCTTTTGCTTGAGACTCTCGAAGGCGTGCAGTACGAACACAAGGATCACCGGAAGCTTATAGATGAAATTTATACCAAGCCTTTCCAGGTGCGCATGTCATGGTTTCGTCAAATTATATCCTCGCTGCTCCCTTTCTAACACATGCTACTACCAGACTGTCAACAATCTCGTCAAATATGGCGAGATGGTCGAGTCAACGCTAGATCTCAAAAATCATAATTACGCGATCAAGCCTGGCTATGATGAGCGTCTGCAAGCTCTGGCAGATAAACTTGTGGAGGTTCATATCACGCCTATCAGAATCATAGCGAAGAGGGTTGACATTTTCTTAGATCTGGGATGGTCTTGCTGCCGAACATCCATCGTGCAACCGACAAGGATCTCGATCTCGACAAGAAGCTGCACCTCGAGAACTCCCAGAATTATGGATACTGCTTCAGGTTGACGAAAAATGTGCGCTTTCCGTACTGCGAGATATCCTGAGCTCACATTCACATCAGGACGCGAAAGCCATCATGCGGAACAGCAGATATATCGAACTCGGGACTGTCAAGAGCGGAGTTTACTTTACGACCGAGAAGTTGAAAACACTTTCCGCGGACCATCAAGAGACTACGTATGAATATCAGCGGACGCGGAGCGGGTTGGTGAGGGAAGTTGTCAGCATCGCATGTAAGATCCTCCTTTCACTGCTACCTCGCCATTCAAACATGCCTTTTTCTTTGTACAGCAACATATACTCCGGTACTAGAGAATCTTGACCACATCATTACACACCTAGACGTTATCCTCAGGTGAGCCCCATGATTGAAGCCTGCACGTGTAACGACGATCGTCTAGTTTCGCTCATGTTTTTGTACACGCTCCTGAGCCATACGTGAAACCAAAGGTCCTGGATAAAGGCAAGTTCGGAAGACAATGTTCGACGCAGGAATTGATCGACGTACATAAGGCACTAGCGGCTTAATATTGCGCGACGCGCGGCATCCTTGCCTTGAAGTTCAGGACGACATCAGCTTCATTCCAAGTGATGTGGAGATGGTGAAGGGTAAGATTTATCGCATTTACGGTACCTATAGTGACGACACGATCGATTACTGGCGCGCTTCATTCTGGTCACTGCGCTAACCGGCACCTGCAATTAACATGAGGCAGTGATCAACCAATCACCCACAACCCTCCACTGCCTCCAGTCTCCTCGAGTATGTATTTTTTGCCAAGTTAATGACATGCTTGGTAATAACCCTAGGCAACCACTTGATTTTTAACTTAGGTTAATAACAACGCGATGCGAATGGCTTATGGTCCGTACCTTGAAGTGCACAGCCGAACCGTCACGCTGCAGCTAGACCACCAGCTTAGCATGTGCGAAGCTCAATGCATTTAGGCAGCGTGGTTGTAATATTCGTCATGAGCTCACGCAGTTACGCCGCCCCCAATGCCCAGCGCTGGTTCTCAGAATTTTATTGGCACGTGTACGGAACATGCTGAATCCAAGCGTCTTTGTTATCTGCCTGGACGTACCAACCCCTGTTCTAACGAGAAGACTCAACTGAAGGAGGGCTGACGCTACTCAAAAACCCCGAACGCGCAAGTCAAGACGCACCTTTCGCTTTCTTGTCTTGAGTCATTATTGTAATGTCGAGTCCTGGTGAGAAACCATTTAGTGTAAGTGGTATTTGACTCTACCTCAGCTCAGGTTAACTTGAAACCAGCCTTCCAGCTCATTTCAATTTGTTGATAGTCCCAACCATACTGAAGTCGGGAAACCACCACACCGCACAGACACGTTCAATGTTGTCATTTGCGGAGAAGCCGGTTCTGGTAAAAGTTCCTTGGTAAATTTGATCGCTGGGACGAACATAGCAGTGACATCCTCCGATGCTGGGGGATGTACAGCTGGAACCAATGCGTACGATATTACGATGACTCGAGACGAGACATTTAAGGTAAAGCTTGTCGATACAGCTGGTCGGTCCGGTTCGCCCCTCTTCATGGCTATTACTGAATTAGATTACAGGTCTGGACGAGGGCCCTCGAGGCACAGTCCCAGATAAGGAAGCTCGCAGAATTTTGAGGAAACTCCTTCGAACTCTGACGGAGCAAGGCAATATTCAACTCGTCATGTACTGTGTGCGGGGCGAGAGAGTGGTTCGGACACTCCGCCGGAATTACGAGTTAATTCGCTCCCAAGTAAAGAAGAAGAAAGTTCCAATTGTCCTTGTCGTCACATGTTTGGAATCGTACAAACCAGAGATGGAAGACTGGTGGACAGTTAACGAGCGAACTATCTCAAACCTCGGGATGACCTTCGCCGGCCACGCATGCATCACTACGGAGACAATGGTATCTATGCACATGCGCCGCGCCCAGTCATACGACGCTGTCCGCAAGCTCATTGAGCAGCGTTATTTGTCGAATAACACAGGGATTCACACTGAATCATCGCGAGGCACTATTCACAATGTCCTGAGGTACGTATTCCCTACACTCTTTTTGTATCGTATTTTCCTAATATTGATAAGTAGGACCAAGCGTAACACTATTGTAGTCTTTGGGGAGACCGGGGCAGGCAAAAGTTCGCTTATCAACCTCATGGTGGGAAAGGACGTGGCAGGCACATCCTGTGGCATTGAAGCCTGCACGACGCACTGGAAAGAATATCCCCTCGAATTCGATGGTGAACCTTTCAAGTTATTCGATACCGTCGGACTAGATGAACCACAGCTAGGAATCCCACAGTACTTCGATGCCGTCGAGAATGCCTATAACCTCATTCAGAAATTGGAGAGAGAAGGCGGCATTGATCTTCTTCTGTTCTGCATGCCGGCAGGCAGACTCAAAATTATGCATCAACGCAATTACCAGCTCTTTCGCCATTTCCTCTGTTATAAGAAGGTTCCCATCGTCCTAGCGATCACGAATCTTGAAAGAGAGAAGAAGAACATGGAGAGCTGGTGGACGAGAAACCAAGAAATCTTCCGTAAGAAGAAGATCCGTGTTGATGGTCATGCTTGCATCACCACCATCGAAGACGACCATGATCCAACCTTCCAAAAAAAATCGCGCGACGCGATCTGGGACCTTGTCAGGAATGTCGCTGCCGACGGGCAGAAGCGAGCACAGAAGGGAGGAAACGACTTGTTCGTGTCGTTGATGCCGCTTGCGGGAAATGGGAATTTACGTGTGGGGAAGGATATTGTCTCCCGCCTCACCAAGCGCTGCCATATGTCTCCAGAAGTCGCAAAAGAGATAGCTGGTAGGATCAAGAAAGATGTGGTAGAAGGAGCTTCTGGACATTGAGCGTTGCAGTATGCCTACTCGGATTCTCGTGATCGACCAATTATGCTCATCTTACTGTGCATCTTATCCCATTTATATCCCATCTTTATTTCTGTATAATGCAAGTGTATAGCTTTTTCTCTTCTTACGGAGTACAAACCGGCATTCCATCCGGTCATCGCATGATTTTGCGAGTGTAACGGTGCCACTTTTTTTGATCGCTTTGGTAATAGTCTCCCTTGTTCAGACCATTGGAAAGACAGTGGTGGAATCCTTCTACTATATTTATATTATGGTCTGCTTCCACTCCCCCTCGGGGTCGATGTTCACGACTATCTTCATGTTATCAAGCCCTGCTTAACTGCTACTGGAGACTGGGCCCACATCGCAATCGACGGTCAGCGAGAATGGCTGAATCTCATTAGCCACTGCGTGGGGTACTTATTTTGAATTCCACATGCATGATATATTATTAGGAGAATTTCGAAGGGTAGAATCATTATGCGTGTAGGTCATGACGTACTGGCAAGGTCATTTTAAAAGTCTATAACCGGAATGACTATCAAACACGGGGAGTCAAGTAGCTCCTTCTACCACGTCTTTCTTAATCCTATCAGCTAACTTCTTTGCGACATCCTGAGACAAACCACACCTCTTGACGAGGCGACGGACAATATCCTTCTTCGAACGCGAATTCCCTAAAAGCAGCCCCTTCAGTTTTTGCATGAACGACACGAACAGGTTGTCTCCTCCTTTCCATGCTCGTTTTTGCTCGTCAGTAGTGAACTGCTTGACAAG